CACTTCTCTGGGTTTTCGGACGATGTTCGCCACCTCCACCGGGCGACCGACGCCAACCATTACCGTCAACAGGACCGTCGTCGTTGCCACCACTTACATCGTCCTACTCCTTGTCATCTTCTTCTTCTTCTTCTTCGCGATAGTCCTGTTCTTTCCCCTCTAGCCTTCTCTGTTTCCCGTTCGGTTTCTTCGGTTAGTCCTTCCTTCTCTTCTTTTCCCGCTGCCTCCCCTCGGCCCCCGGCGTCGCCGAGTACTCCTTCCTTTCGCCACTCGGCGTTTTCTCCTCTTTTTCTTTCACCCGTCTCCTTTTTCGCCGGCGAGACCATTCGCCACTCCCATCGCACATGCCAAATCCATTTACGTCGGACGCGTTTCTGCATCATTATCCGCCTATCGAGGTTTATAATCGTCTTGCATCGTCGGTACTCGGTCGCTCGCAGGATCAAGGTTAACACCGTTAACGTTCGAAGAGCGCGCGCATCCGGCGCCGCCACCGTTCGTAGGAATTCCGACCTCCCCTGATCACCGGCTTTTCTGAAATCCGTAGACACCACCGACCGGTTGACGCTGCTCGGCTTTACCGGAACGATGAATCCCTTGCTATCGATACTATTTTTTGGTTGGCTTTTCTGTAGTGGGATTTCGTGGCCGAGGGTATCGTTCTCATACGTAAACAACTGATCTGCATTTAATTTTCTGATTACTCCATACTGCATTCTCAAAAGAAAATTTGGGCCCTATAAACAAAAACAATAACATTTCAATCATTCCTTCTATTCTCAAAAGTGACTGAGAGTCACGTCGTGCTCTGATTCGTTAGAAGAACACGTGGTATTAGGGTTAAGAAACGATTAAAGAAGCTGATTTAGTAATACCTAAACTGAAGTATAAACCAATTGAAATATTAATGAATTCACGTATATAGCTTTTACGAAGACGAAATTTCATTTAAATTTCATTTATTTCGTTTTTTTACATTCTCAAAAGACGAAAAGTCCTCGGTAGTCCTAGTGTTAAGTACACGGTTGCTTTCGAGTCGAATAACATTCCCCTCTAACTCCGCTTTCTAGCGTCTCCTTAGCGACTCATCCCAGTCCCTACCATTTCGCAGGACTATCGAACAGCAGGCAGGTGTTCGAGAAAGAGGGACACAGGCCAAAGAAGACAGAACGAAAGCAAGCGAGCTTTGTGTGCGGCTGTACAGAATGGAACATAGCTTGTCTCGCTTCATCCTGCGCATGACCGTGTTCTCTCTTTCTCCCGCGCGGCTCGTAAGCGAAGCTTGACGAAAAACGACGTTCGCTTTCCGTAAGGTCTCGCCGAATGTGAGTATAACGCGAATCGTATTGCATATACGTATGAATAGTTTCAGGAGTGTTCGTATTTATGTCGTACTGCAATCTCAGATACATATGCCTGCGTCAACGTCGTGAATATTTTTACATATACTAACCGTATATTAATTTTGAACGGTTGACTTACCGTTATGTCACTTCACATGTAAACTCGACAGTGTTGTATGTGGTGTCGACTGCATACAGCCCTCAGCCATGGAATACATTAGTGTTCATCGATTACAGTTTATCCGTCGATTGTCTATCTATCGCGCTATCTTTTCTATGGATTAAAAACAAATGACAAGTGTTATATAGTTTCATAACATTTCGTTAGACACGTTACGACGGCTCGCTGGCTTTACGCGGGAAACGATCGTCCGAAGAGGTTATATGGTCACATACATCTAGGAGCGATGAAGGTAAGGTTATCTTTTAACATTCTTTTTATGTATAGAATTCTGCTTTATTGAATAGTCGTTACAGCTATTGGAAATTGTTTGAACAGTAATCTTTGAACATTTAATTAAAAATAATGGGAGAATAATAAGCTATACGTAGTAAATTCTTAAACGGAATTTATTTATGAATCACAGTCTGTTAACGATCAGTTGTCTTTTGTTTAAGAATTTCTAAAGTACTTTACGTTATTGATTGCGAAGTTGCATAAGAAGTGCGTACTTTCACAGTCGATTGGAAGTATAATTGATTCTACAATTCCTTAACCTTCATAACTCGCAATAAATTGTTTCTATTGCTTCTGTCACTCATTACTTAAAGTTATTGCTGCGCAGTATCGTTATCTCATTGTTAATTTTACTTTTCAACAATGTTTATTCGCATGTTACTCAATCTTAATTAACGTGTAAAAACATGTTGAAACTGATCTTTACAAGAACATGAATTACATTCTAGTTTTTAAAATGATATTTCCTTCGATTCGGTAGCATGCTCAAAGAAATGATAATCAAAAATAAATCCTCTTCGAGAAACGTTCGAAATGAAATTCAGACTTACATTAATGCAGTACGCGGATGGATAAAAAATGTGTGGAAGCCAGTGAAACGCAGAATCGGGAATTACCGGACACTGGAAACTGCCGAGCGAGTGGAATTTTTTTTCATTTTTCAAATGTTACGCTTACGCAGCAGAAAATAGGGAATTCGTTTCTTCTCGTTTTACGCAATTGCGAGCTAGATCGATGATTTCTCACGTAACGAAGGGGATACTTGTGTACACATGTAAATGGGTCTCTATTTAGCAAAGAATGGATGGATTGTTGAAATCTTGGGCCATGATTCATCCGTTGCGTAACCGTCTCGTGTTTGTTGCCGTTCCTTTTTCTAATTGTTTCAAGATTCCTTAATTAACGCGAAACCGTGACATTCGAAGTGACGTGTGAACACGCGGCGACTTCCGACAACGCCTTCTTATCGCCTATTCAGTGCGTCTTTCAAGAAAATGTCCATGCACGGATACTCGGAATTGCATACGAACATTCGCTTCCGAATAATTGTACGATAATCCAACATGGCGGCTTTCACGAAGAAGAAGAAGAATGCATTGTAAGCAGATGTGCTTCGTCAATCTTTTAAATATCGAATCAAATTTAAATTTTCAAAGGTTTTATTTAATTTAGGACAATCGTGTTTGTTTGGAAAAATATAAAATTATTTTGTGAACTAATAGGACATTCATAAATTCGTTTAGGTATGACATTACGTTTTTTGGCATTTCAGTAATTTCCAATGAAATTATTTATAACGGAAGTATAGTGGCGTGGTGGAGTGCACGAAATAATCATACTGTGAATTGCGTGAAGATATAGTCCAGGCATGTGCAAACTAAGCAGCCGGGTTAGGTTCCTTCTCCCGCTCTTTTCCGGAGCTGCGACGCTTTTGCGCAGATGGCTGCGCGCGAAACAACGCCCGCCAAATACAAATGTCTTAGAACAGAATACTCTGAAGGAAGGGAGAAAGAATTAGTTGTATGCAGTTTGAACGCATTTGCTGCAACAATAATTGAATTCCTTTGCATTTAACCTGATTACAATTTATGAAAATTAATGAATAGTATTAAGTGTCACAGGATTATTGATATTTCTCAGTTATCTTGCATTTTAAATTTAGGAGCATCAGAATAATATTCTGTTTGAAATCTAGTTTCTATCTAAATGGAAAATAGAAATTGATTTATATCTAGTTAATATTTTAGATTTTATCTTAATTAAGAAAACAAAAACATCATGATTATAGTCATCGAAAGAAACGCGAGACAATTTGGAGAGCGAAGAAGTCATAAGAAAATACCAACAAGCTTTTTCATGGAAAAATCGGCGTTTTTATTTAGGAGTTCACTGTTAATGAAATATTAATAAATCTATGGAAAGTCTCCGAATCACTACGTTGCCAATTTCAGTAACATTCGAGTGTCTTTGAAAGCCGATCGAAGATAACGATATTTCGTGCGCGCCAATGAAACTTAACACTTTCGCAACATGAATTCACACACGGCTTTCCATTTCGCAACCGAAATTGATTTCACTGAACCCGCATTCTTTTTCGGTAGAATGATTCATGTAATGCGACGCGTTAACAAAGCCACTTCCCGTTTCGTTGACATCACGCAGCCAATTGTACGTACACGTGTCGCTAGACGAGATTAGATGATTTTATGATATCATCGTTACTTATTTCCAAGCCATTGCAACTCGTTCGAGATCAGGGTTAATAACACCGTCTTACTTCGTCACATCGATGCGCGTCAATCTTAACACGTCTTCCCCTCGTCCCTTTATCACGGATCCCGTTTTTCCTTCTTCGAAGCGGCATATTGTTTCACGTACAATAAGCAATTTCCGACAGCAATATCGATAAACGTGTCATAAAACAAATGACATTGTTCGTGGCGCAACACGGCTTAAAACCGAAACACTTCGCGTTTATAAAATCGGTAGAAATATTACGTAACACGTGTGAAGGTGATTATGATTTTCACCTTGGAACAATGGTGTTTGATAGTTCGTTTTCGAAAAATCGAATAAGACTCTTGCGAGTTTAGGTTTCCACGGAAAAAATATTAAGCTTCAGTCAACAATTTATCGCCCGAGGAGCATAATCTTTAAATCTTTCATTATGCTAGAGATTTCCGTCGTTAAGTAAGGCTATATCATTTAAGCGGTGTATAATGATATGGAAAAACACGTATGATTGATACGGTTTAATCTTTCTTCTCCCGTTGTACGGGAGATTAAACTCGTGTAACAATGAACGCGAAGTAGACAAGGCAAACATTGTTCTACACTACTAGCTCTACAAACGGAGCGCTCTCCGAGAAATCGATTATTTGATGAATTTATACGATAGGGAATATATCGCCGAGAAAAAAACGCTTTTATTGCCGCTACATCGTATCACTTTCCGCACCAACCCTCCCTGATATATTTAACCCCGCTCGACACTGCCAATTCCAGCCTCATAAAAACTTTTCTGTGATCGTTGCAACCTTGGTTACGTAACTGTACAATACATTATTGGCGTTGTCATTCAGAGAATGCGAACCTTGAACTAAAAGAAAGATCGTAACGCTAGTGTATCGTAATTCTTATCGGAAAGCATCGGACTTCCAGAATCTGTTAGATTATCCAGTCTTAGATTCTGGGCTTAACATTCTACACTGCGCGAAGATTGAATATTAATAATTACGTTAATAATTATCTCCGTAATGCGAAATAATCGTTAAATCCTTTAAGTATTTTACAGCGCAATAATCCCGTCGATTATCACCTGAAAAAAGTGGCCAAATCTTAAGACTTTCCAAGAAACACCCAAATCAGTCAGGAAATCCTCAAACTTGACTTTCGCCCATAAATATTTACCCACGCGCCAATCTTTCTAATCCCTCGAAGTCCCACGACTCTTTTTCCAACCGTTACCACTGCAAACACCATAAAGACCTTTAAAAATCATCCAAATCAATCGGAGAACCTTCGAATTTAACTTTCATCCATAAATCTTCACCCACGCGCCGATTTTTCCGAACCCTCGAAGTCCCGTAACTTTTCCCCAAGCGGCCGTCGCCGTAAACGCCATAAGGACCGCCAAATGTTCACCTTGCGGATTGTTTCCGTTGACCGCCAGACGAGAAATCGTTTGGCTAACGTCGTCGGAGAATATCGCGCGTACGTTACGTAAGCGTGTACGCTTACAGACAGGAAAATCAGACGGGATTCTGTTTGGACCCGTTCAGGGCGCCATGCTGTCGCAATCGATGTCCGCGGCGCGTCTATATAGGTCGCAATAAGATAGATGGACGACGATGACGCAGATCCATGCAAAAAAGGTCCGCGAAAGTATCGCGGGCTGTGTTGGTCCTTCACCCACGCGTCGCCCTCCGTTGGCAGGAGTGGTGCACGCGTGCATCCTTTGGCCCAGATTCCGCTCGGATCTGTAATCCGAGGGCGAGCGAGCGGGCTTCAGTTTCCTCCGCCACCCTTGCGCGGCCACTCGCGTCCTTGAGCCATGAACTTTGTTTTCGCGGCGAGCAGGATTACCCGGTGAAATGTGCCATCGAGTCGTTCGTCTTGTTTGCGTCGCGTCGACGGGAATATTTTCGCGATTTCGCGCAACGGATGGTCCCATCGGTGACCTCGGTGCTGTGCGAGTGTAGACGTAGAATACTCTTGACGTTCGAGACTGCATTTCGTGTAATTAACCCTTTGAATGCTGAACACTCCCATCCGAAACGTTCCGTGTAAACGGAATGTTCTTTTGCTGATCTGAAGATCGATGGATTGTATTAATTTATATAATTAAATTGTAATTCTTCGGTTTCGCCAAGTTGAATAATGCTAAGAAACACGCATATTAATCTCATATGTCGGAATTACTGATTTCGACGTTCTTATGTTACGAGTAAGATGATGGATACTTGTGTGACGGTTTCGAAATATGTTACAGTGTTTATATAGATGCAAGAATAGGGGATGCTTTAACCCTTTGCGGACGGTCGACGTTTCGGCGAGATCAAGTTTCCGCAAATGGAAGACTAAGTCGAGGACAAATAATGTAATTACTCAAAGCATGTAGTTTCCTTTTTTTCTATTGTATAAGCAACTGATATATAATTTAGCGTCATCTGCGTAAAGTTTTGTATATTTCAAAGAATCTTCAAGAGGTTAAGTCTCAAGAAATGTACTCTTCTAATTTTTATAATGAATTATAAGCAATTCACTCTTACTGCTTGGTAGTTTCAATCTCAAGTACTTACTTCTCGTAAAAATGATAACAGTGTATTTTGCAAATTTTAATGTTCCTTATCCTGTTATTTGAGATTTCCTTCGTATGAGCGATTGTAGGATTAGGGCATTGAAAGCAGTGATTTTGATTGATGCTGAAGCGTATTCTTATATAACGGTCGGTTAATCCGGGTTGGATTAACAAATTGAGAATTAAGTGTTATTATGATAACGTTGGAATGTATTATCAAGGTTGAGATTCCAATTAATGTTTCTGCTACAGGGATGTATAACTGTCCTCGAGTTTCCAGATATTGGTAAGAATATTTTGGAAGTTCGTTGATTTGACTTGAGATTTCTTTGAAAATTGAAAATTGCACAGCACGTGCCTCCACGGTAAAATGCAAGCTCGCAATATTACGTTACCTTAAAGTAGAAATAAACTTCATAGGTTCGTTGAACCGAAGCCTATTTTCAGCCGGCTAGCTCCTTTATAGAATAGGGACAGTGTTGATACAACATAGCTGGCGAGATACTGTTATAGGGACGGACTTGACACGACTAGAACTATCCTGTGCGTCTTCTTAATTCTAGAACTACCGAGTAATAAGACAGAGTTATTTATGATTTATTAGAAAAATTAGGAAAGCAGATTTCTTCAGATTCAAAGAGCTTCTTGCTATCGCACTAGTACAAATGCAGGAATTTATATTGAAATTTCCCACGGAAACATCTTCCTCATCTTAACACATTGCGCGGGCCCTATGTTCATGTAACATTTTAGATGTGTATGACACAAATCCAAAGTAAAATTACAAAATCGAATTCCTTATTCTTTTTCGTAAGTCCGAAATTTCGGCTTGATCGATGTTTAAAAATGTATCAGTATAATCACCGACGCTCGCGTTTTTACTAACTGAAATTTAGCCGGCGTACAACGTGTTAAGAATGGCGAAATAAGTCTGGTAGTCCTAGTGTTAAGTAACAGACAAAAGACGTTATCAGAAGTGGGTTACCGCTCGCAAGTATTTGCTCTGCAATTGAAGTATTTACATATTCCGTTTTTCGTATTTGATTCCGAGACTTTGAACGAACGATCGCGATAAGATTGCGGATGTTCATACAGATTCGTATGTTCGTAATCCCGTTACACGCGTAGGGATTAAACAAACACTCATTTCCATCGTTAAGATTATTTGTTTCAAAATAAAGTAAC